CCGCCGGCGGCCGAGCCGACTCGGACTCGGCCCTACGCGGCCCGCGCGGGGCTTGGGTCGCGGACGGATACGCCCGGCAGGACTCGAACCTGCGACCGACGGTTTAGAAAACCGTTGCTCTATCCGCCTGAGCTACGGGCGCGTGTGGGGGGTGGACGGGCCGCGCGACGCGACGGTCCGGCCGGCCCTCGTCGGCCGGTCCGATCGGTCGTCTCGCGGATGCGCCCGGCAGGATTCGAACCTGCGGCCTGCGGTTTAGGAAACCGCCGCTCTATCCACCTGAGCTACGGGCGCCACGTCGTTCCGGACCGATTCTCGTCTGCCGCCCCTTCCCTGTCAACCGACCCTCGGCGGCGAGCCGCCCTGGGCATCCGCCTCGCCGGTCGCGTATCATGTCCACAGCGAGGGCCCGCCCGGCTCGATCGGGGGCCGGTCGATCGTCGCCTGGGGCGTTGGGCGTTTCGAGGGGAAGCATGGCCGAGGCCGGATCGAGCAGCCAGGAACCTTACCGGTTCCGGATCGGCAGCTACGGGATCATCCACCCCCTGGGATCGGGGGGGATGAGCTCGGTCTTCCGCGCCGCGCACCTGGAGACCGGGCACGAGGTCGCGCTCAAGGTGCTCCCGCCTTACATGGCGCGGAACTCGACGATCCTGAAGCGGTTCGTGGCCGAGGTCCGCAGCGCCGAGTCGCTGGAGCACCCCAACATCGTCTCGATCTACGACCGGGGGAGCGACGAGGGCCGCTACTACCTGGTCCTGGAGTACGTCCAGGGGGGGGACCTCCACGACTACGTCCAGAATCGAGGCCCGCTCGACCCGGACGAGGCGATCGGCCTCATCGCCCAGGCGGCGCGGGGGCTCGAATATGCGATGTCGCGCGGGGTGATCCACCGCGACGTGAAGCCCTCCAACCTGCTGCGGACCCCCCTGGGGGAGCTGAAGATCACCGACCTCGGGCTGGCCGTCCGCCCCGAGTCCGAGGACGAGCGCGTCACCCGCGAGGGGACCACCGTCGGCACCGTGGACTACATGGCCCCCGAGCAGGTCGACGGCCGCTTCGGGTCGATCGGCCCGGCGACCGACGTGTACGCCCTGGGGTCGATCCTGTACGTCCTGACGACGGGCCGGCCGCCGTTCCGCGGCGAGACCTCGACCGAGACCCTCCGCATGGTGCTCCACGACGAGCCCATCCCCGTCCGGGTCCTGCGCCCCGGGGCGCCGAAGCCGCTGGAGACGATCGCCCTGCAATGCCTGGAGAAGGACCCCGCCCGCCGCTACGCGACGGCCGGCGAACTCCGCGACGACCTGGACCGCTACCTCGCGGGCCGTCGCATCCTCGCGAAGCCGCTCGGCAAGGTCGAGCGGCTGCGACGCTGGTCGCACCGACGCCCCCGGACCGCCCTGGGGCTGACGGCCTCGCTCGCGCTCGCCCTGCTCCTCATCGGCGGGATCGCCGCCTGGAACCTCT